TAGAAAATATATTAATAAGCCAGGTGTAGGGGCACATGGGAGACTGAGGCAGGAGGATCATTGCGAGTTTGAGGCCAGCCTGGTCTACAAAGTGAGCTCAAGGCCAGCCAGAGCTGCATAGTGAGACCCTGTCTCAAAAAGAAAAAAAAAGATAAATATATTCAAATATGCACATTATTAAATGAAAATGGTAATACTCCCTGTCACTTGGGAATGTGATTCCTCAGTGAGACTTGCCTCAAACCCGGAGTAGCAATGGTTTAGACTTGGGATTAGCAGGTGAGCTGGCTTCGAGCGCCTCCCTCTGGCTAGACTGAGGCGCAGGCTGCATTTTGGATGCTGGGGTGCTGGGGGCTCAGAGCCGTGGTAATCTGGGCAGAGACACGAGCGCCTACATTTCCACTGGAGGAGGGCGAGAAGCTTCTTCCTTGCTGGCTGTGATGGTGCACGCCTGTGATCCCAGCCACCTAGGAGGCTGAGGCAGGAGGGTTGCAAGTTTAAGCCCAGGCTGGGCAGTTCAGCAAGACCTCAGGGCTCCATCTGTGCTCTTATGAATGAAGCTCCAGGGACCAGGACAGCTACCTGTGTCTTGGAAGCAGGGACAACCCTGAGGAGGCACATGACAGGCATCAACAAAACTAGCTTTTCCAAACTAAACTTGGTGTGATCTCACACGAATGGTATTTTAAGTGACTTGCTTGTCTACAGCATTGGTAGGTCCGTCTGCTCTTGTTTTACAGGACAGAGTGGCATTTCTCTAAGGTCACAAGATGAGTAATTTATAGAAGTGACAGCAGAGTGAGTCTGGCTGTGTCATTCCCTGTCACCTTGGGGTAAAACCCATCTCTTATCAGAGCCGCCAGGCCTGTGGCCATGGGTGAGCGCTTCCTGCGCCGCTTGCTCTCACCACCCCATTGTGCCCAACAGCGGAGCCTGTGCACGTGTGCGTGCGCGTGTGCGCGTGCATGAATGTGCGCTCAACTGGGAATTGAACCCAAGGCCTTTACACTGAGCTGTTTCTGTTCTTTTTGGAGACAAGGTCTCCCCAGGCCGGGCTTGAACTTTCACTCTTCCTGCCTCCGCCTCCCAGAACACTGGGATCCCAGGGGTGTACCACCACTGACTGTCCCTCTCTCTCGTTTGCATGGGTGGTTTCCATTAGAGCACTTTTCCCCCACTCTATCATCGAACTCAGGGATAAGAACTGTCTTTGTTTTATGTCCGTGATCTCAGTTTCTTGAAAGACAAGTGAGTGAATGGATAGGCAAGTGATGTGCAGGTGTGTTGGGTGGGTAGAGGCATGGGGGGTAAGTAAAGGGGGTCAGGATGGATGGAGAGGTGAATGGGTGGGTGGGTGGGTGGGGGAATGGAAGGGGGGATGGATGGGGAGATGCGGGATGCATGGAGGACAAATGGAGTTAGGATGAATGGATAGGTGAATGGGTGGGTGGGTGGTTTGGTTGGTTGGATGGATGAATGGGGGGATGGATGGGGGATGGGGATAGGGAGATGGAGATGCATGGGGGGATAAATGGAGTTAGGATGAATGGTGAATGGGTGGATGGACGGGTGGGTGGGTGGATGGATGGATCAGTGGGTGGAGGATGGATGGGGAGATAAATGAAGGAAATTAGGATGGATGGATGGGTGGAAGGGTTAATGGATGGGTGGGTGAGTGGATGAGCTATTCCTCCTGTTCTGAATCTTGCTCAGGTGTGTTTAGGCCCAATGATTTGTGCCACTCGTAGCTTTGAATGATCGCCAGGGTGGCGAATTGCAGCGTACATCAGAACGACTCAGAAGGCAGGGGCCTGGCCTCCTGCTTGGTGCCGGGCTCTGTCTTCTTACCCCCAGATCTCAGTGGCTTTCTTGTTCCAGGACTTAGGAAATGGCCACTGTTGGAACGCAGGTCAACAGGCTGGCATCTGGTCCTTTAGTATTTGTTGGTGAGCTGCACTTTTCCAGGCAGCGACGGGCACCTAGGGTACAGGAGCAGGTGTCAGCGGATCAGATCACAGGCGGGGGGCGGGGGGCGGGGGGCGGGGGGCGCTGCACAGGAGCAGAGGCAGGCTCTGGAAGCGCGGCACTGCCCTGCCCACCTAGGCTATGGCCTCGCGGAAGTTGCTCAAAACAAACCCATGAAAGTTGGGGGCCGGGGAGATGGCTCAGTGGAATCAGTGCTTTCCTGGCAAGCGCAAGGGCCTGAGTTCAATCCCCGGTTCTGCCAAAAAATAAAACTAAAACAAACAAAAAAATTAAAAAAAAAAAAAAAGAAAAAAAAAAAAAAAAGAAAGAAAGTTGGGGGGCCTGCTTCTCCCCGCTTCCTGATTCATTTTATTTATTTTCTTTGTTGAGCCCAGGGCCTCATGCATGCTAGAAGAGCATCCGACCACTGAGCTACCCCATAGCCCTCTTTCTTTAAAGAGAGAGATTGTTTGATGAATAAAGACATCACAAAATGTAAAAAAAATAAAAAATAAAAAAAATAAAGAGAGAGAGCATTTCCAAGCCTGGCTCGTGTCTCCCTGACACTGGAAGGGAAAGGCTGGGTCCAACCCACTCAGCTGTCGTCAGGACTTCTGCACTCAGAGAGGCTAAGACAGGATCGCCAACTTTGAGTCCAGCGGGGTAACCTAGAGACTTAATGAGACCGTTCCTCAAAATAAAAATAAAAAAGGGCAAGGATGTAGCCCAGTGTGAAAGTCCTGGGTTCGATACCCAGTACCACCAAAAAAAAAAAAAAAAAAAAAAGCAGCAGAAGGAAGGAAGGAAGGAAAGAAAGAAAGAAAGAAAGGGCCCAGGAGATAGCTCAGCAGTCTAAGTGCCTGCCTGGAAAGCGCAAGGACCAAGATTGGATCCCCAGTGCAGCCTGTCGTGCCAGCCCTAGCTATCAAAACCAGGTGTGGTCGTGCACGCCTGTAATCCCAGCATTGAAGAGGCTGAAACAGGACAATCACTACAAGTCCAAGCTGTGTAGCAAGATCCTGTACCTTTAAAAAAGAAAAGAGAAAAAAACTTGAACCTCCTGCAGAGGGGTAAATACAAGTGTTAGGGACCAGAATCGAGCAGTGACTGTCCATCACGAAGGGAGAGGTTCCCCCTCCCCTGAGCAACCTATCAGGGTGCCCTGTCCCCTGCCTGGTGTCCCCCATCTCGGGCCCTGGGGCCTGGAAGTGGGCTTTGGGGTGTCTTGGGCCTGCGAGTAGCTGCCGTGCAGTGCTATGCAGCTGTCCCAGGAACGCTTGGGGTGGCTGCTCCCACAGAGCCCATCTGTGTGCCCCCCTGCAGGTGTGTAGGGACCTGGGTACCCGGCTCCACCCTCCCAGAGACAGCACCCACTTTGGTCTCCTTGGGTCTGAGGGGCAGCAGGCCTGGTTTCCTCAGCTCTTCGGGGGTGGGGGGAAGGGCCCAGGCCTCAGGCCCCATCTCGGTGCAGACCCTGGCCGAGTAACTGTCACCCGCCCCGGCTTTCCTCGCAGGGACGCCCAGCAGCCCCCCCTGCCATGATCCACCCGGGCAGCGGCACCCCTCCGGGAGAGGCACTTTTGCCCAGCGTGGCTCCCCAGGACTTCTGGAGGTCGCAGGTCTCAGCCTACACAGGCTCAGTGACCCGTCACATCAGCCACCGGGCCAACAACTTCAAACGCCACCCAAAGAGGAGAAAGTGCATCCGGCCCTCCCCACCCCCACCTCCCAACACCCCCTGTCCCATTGAGCGGGTAGACTTTGGGGACCTGCACCCCCAGAGGTCCTTCCGGGAGCTGCTCTTCAACGGCTGTGTCCTATTTGGCATCGAGTTCAGCTATGCCATGGAGACGGCATATGTGACACCAGTGCTGCTGCAGATGGGCCTGCCCGACCAGCTCTACAGCCTGGTGTGGTTCATCAGCCCCATCCTCGGTAAGTCTCAGCGTGGCCCTGGACATATGGCTTGGAAGATTCTGGAACATTCTACAAGCTTCTGGAAGATTACAGATGTTTCTGGAAGCGTCTCTGAGAATAAGGGAGAAACAAGGGTTAAGTTCCCCTAGTTAGCGTGGTGTAGAAAAACAGGTATGGCCCTTTCATCCTGTATTTTAAGTTCTTTTATTTAAAGCAGGCAATAGAACAGGAACTGAGCCACCCCAAGGACTGTGCTATCTTGGGTCATGTTGTTATCAGAGAATCCAAGAGACAGAGCTCAGTGGGGTTTGGTTCCTAGAAGACTTAGAATTTCATGAATTCCCAAGGAAAGTCCTGACTGCTTAGTACCCTTAGGGTCCAAGTGGAAAAGCAAAGGAGATGCCGAGTGACTGTTTCGTTGCCAACTCTGAGTCCTCTGGAGGCTTAAGCTTTGAGGCACTAGGGCATGGGTGAGCAGGTGCACTGGGGGGCAGCAAGGCTGTTGTGTGTCCCCAGGTGCCCAGGGACCCACCAGTGACCCCAGCCTGCTCTGTTTCAGGGTTCCTGCTGCAGCCTCTGTTGGGTGCTTGGAGTGACCGGTGTACCTCAAGGTTTGGAAGGAGACGCCCTTTCATTCTTGTCCTGGCGATAGGTCTGTTTTGGCATGGACATAAAATGCAAAAAAAGTAAAAGAAAATAGGCAGAAAGAGTGAGGAAGAAGGAAAGCGAGAGGGAGCAAGAGGGAAGGAAAGAAGAAAGGAAAGGGAAAGAAAAACCCAACTACCTCCTTTTAAGGAAATAATTTTTAAAAAAGTCTTCACTAAAGCAGGTGCCCTGGTGACTCCAGGCCTTCAGGTTTGGGATGCCAAGGAGCCCTCAGTTTTAGCCTGAGTCAACCCTGAGATGAAATCACTTTGATCCTTTTTTAATGAGTTTAAGCTGGGTGTGGTGGTGCATGCGTGTGATCCCAGTACTGTGGGAGGCTGAGGCAGGAAGATTCCAAGTTAGGGCCCAGCCTGGGCAGCCTTGTGATTTAGCAAGACTCTGTCTCAAAAAGATTAAAAAACAACAACCCTCCCCCCCCCAAAAAAAAAAAGCGCAGGAGACACAGCTCAGCGCAGAAGCCCTGAATGCAGCCCCCACCCCGTGCCGACCCCTCCCGCGGGCTCTGCCAAGCTGGGTCGCAGCCCGATTCACCCTGAGTCCCCGGATTCTAGGCTCAAGGAGTGGACCGTGGGGGCCAGCCAGCCAGCAAGGTCTCAGGGACCCCAACTCTCTGCTTCCAGGGGCGCTGCTGGGCCTCTCGCTCCTGCTGAATGGCAGGGACATCGGCGCAGCCCTGGCTGACACGGCCACCAGCCACAAGTGGGGCATCCTGCTGACGGTGTGCGGCGTGGTGCTCATGGACTTCAGCGCCGACTCGGCGGACAACCCGAGCCACGCCTACATGATGGACGTGTGCGGCCCTGCCGACCAGGACCGGGGCCTGAACATCCACGCGCTGCTGGCTGGTGAGCGCCCCACGGCCGGGCCGCAGGGCCGCGACTGCGCAGGCCTGGGGAGCCCCTCCTCTCCCCGTGACTTATACCTGAGTTAACGAAGCTCAGGCCTATAATCCCAGCACTGAGGCAGGAGGCTCACAAGTTCGAGCCTAGCCAGCCCGGGGAACTTAATGACTTAGACCTGTCTCAAAATAAAATTATAGTTTTTTAATCTTTATTTATTTGGTACAGGGTCTCGCTACACAGCCCAGACTCGTAGTGATCCTCCTGTCTCAGCCTCCCTAGCACAAATATATAGATAAACATAAAAATGATTCAAAAATATACCCTAAACACCGTAATATCTGGTGTGGATACACACGTGTGTGTGATGAGTGTGTCCAGCCGTGCTGCTGTGTCTGTGGCACATGGGTTCTGGGACTTCCTGCAAATACCTACAGATGCCAACTCCTTTATTTAAATGGCCCAAACTGGGCATGGTGGTACGCACCTGTAATCCCGCCTCTCAGGAGGCTGAGGCAGGAGGATTGTCTCCAGGCTACAAAGCAAGCTCAAGGCCAGCCTGAGCTTCACAGTGAGACCTTGTCTCAAAAAGCCAAAAATAAATAAATAAATAAATAAATAAAGAGAGAACTTTGTTCTGGGGAGAAACCCGGGCTGGCTTCTGTGAGCCTCTGGTCACAATGCTTTTATCGAGCCCATCAGTAGTAACCTTGTTCAGTGTGTTCCTGTTTAAAGACATCTTTTTATGGTCTTAGGGATTGAGCCCAGGGCCTTCACACTGAGCTGTACAGCAGCCCTTCTTAGTTGAAGACAAGCTCTCTCACTAGATCAATAAATTGTCCTCTCTGGATTCTAGCCCAGCTCCTCCTACCTCAGCCTCCCGCGTGCAGTGATTACAAGCCTCTTCACGATGCCGGGCTGGAAGATGCTGTATTTAGCAGATAGTCGACTCTTTGCGACTTGGGGTCCATAGCTTGTAGCTTGTCCCCCAAAAACAGTTCCTGTGATTTTCTCCGGGCCGTTGAAGGCAATGGTCTCAGTCCTTTGAGAACACCTTCCTGTGGAGGGTGGATGAGGCCTTCCTGGTGGTGGCTGTGCACAGCTGACAGGAGGGGGGTGTTGTGTGCCTGTGTGCTTCTCTATGTTGGAGACGAGAAGAGGGGTGCTGCTGTGCCAAAGTCAGCAGGGAACCCAAGGGACACATGCAACTGTGGCGGATAGCCACGTCCCTGTTCTTGTTTGAAAGGGGCTTAGCTGGAGTCCCGCCCGCGGGTGGACCTCGTAGCTTCAGCGTCTTCTAAGGAGCGCAGCCCCCGGGCCCTCACCGCCCCTCACGGCCGCCCTGGATGCCGACACCCTGTTTTCTCCCCAGGTCTGGGAGGAGGCTTTGGCTACGTGGTTGGCGGGATCCACTGGGACAAAACGGGCTTCGGGAAGGCTCTGGGAGGCCAGCTCCGCGTCATTTACATCTTCACCGCTGTCACCCTCAGCGTCACCACTGTGCTGACCCTGGTCAGCATCCCCGAAAGGCCGCTGCGGCCCCTTGGCGAGAAGAGGCCGGCCATGAAGAGCCCCAGCCTCCCACTGCCTCCGTCCCCGCCCGGCCTGCAGGACGAGGTCGCGGGCCACTCGCTCCCCGCCCCCGGGGCCCCTGTCGTGTGCCCCGGCCTCTGCACCCCCATCTCTCCGCCCAGCCCGCTCACGCCCAAGTACGGCAGTTTCCTCAGCAGGGACAGCTCCCTGACCGGCCTCAGCGAGTTTGCGTCCTCCTTCGGCACGTCCAACATAGACGGCGTCCTCATCGACTGCTTCACGGGCGGCCAGGACCACTACCTGGCCCTGCCGGCCAGCTTTCCGCGGGCCCCCGACGGCTTCTACCACCAAGGCCGGGGACTGCTGGACAGGAGGGACAGCGGCCTGGCCCCTGGCGAAGGGGACGTGCTGAGGGTGGGTTCCCTCGACGCCCCCAAGCCGCGGGCCTCCGGGATCCTGAAGAGACCTCAGACCTTGGCTCTCCCCGAGGCCGCAGGAGGAGGTGGCCCTGACACCAGCAGGAGAAGAAACGTGACCTTCAGCCAACAGGTAAAATTCCCGAGGTTGGGAACTTGCGATTAACCACCCACCTCCGGCAGTCAGAGGACACTTAGATGATGCACGGTGGTGCCTGGCTACTTGGGAGGCCGAGGCAGGAGTATCCGCCTGGGAATTTCGACATTATTTCAAAACCAGAACAAATGAAAGGGGCTGGGGATGTGGCTCGTTGATGAGTGATCCAGGGTTCCAGCGGGGAAAAAAAGAAAGAGATGACCAAAGAAAAGAGCGGATACAGAAATTCCCCATCATCACAGTTTGATCGGACAGGAGATCTCAGGGCAGTTGTTTCTGGTTCTCCGAGTCAAAGAATTGAGCAGGACCTTTGGTATACTCCGTGATGAGCAAGGACCGCTAGGGGCAGCACTGAGCTACTTAAGGGCCTGGAATTGTGGGCGGGTCTACGTGGGGATGGACAGGCTGCGCGGGCCAATGGAATGCTTGGCTCCGCCCACCAGCCAGGAAGGGAGGGTTTTTAGAGGACCTGTCCCGGCGCCCAAGGTGGCGCGGGGCGGGCGTCAGGTTTGCAGAAGTAGGGCAGGCTAGGATCTGTGCTTTCGGGTTGGCACATGCCTGGAGGGCATCGGGGTGTCCACTGGTTTTCGGATATGTTGCCGTAACTGCCCTTGCTCTGTCTAGTCTCTCCGTTCTCATCCCATGATGTTTGCTGGTCCTCGCTCCGTTTCCTGCCTCCACAGGACGCTTGTAGCGCTCAGCATTCAGGATGCGAAGTGTAGGTCCCACAGTCGGCCACAGGGGACAGCGTCCCCTGGACGCCCATCAGGCTCTGAGGGAGAGGGCCAGTTGGAGCACAGCCGACCTTCCCAAAGGCAGCGCAGGCCAGCGCTGTCGCTTGGGCGAGTCTGGGGCAGTGCCACGCTCCTTTCACTGGTTTCTAGGACTTTCCCTCAAGGCCCAGTTGGCAGTTGATTTGGACATCTGAATCAGTCACCAACAAATCTGAGTCTCCATGAAAGAGGATGCCGAAGTGCGGCTCACACTGCTGCGGGGTCTCCTCCTGACTTTGGCCGAGCCCTCCTAGTCTACGCTGCCCACCTCCAGGGCGGCACAGGCCCCAGGTCTCCCAGTAGCAGCCTCGTCCATGAGGTCCCAGAACCTTCTGGAAGGCCGAGTTGTCAGTGTACCAGTAGGTGAGGCCTCACCAGCTTCCAGAACGTGGCCTTGAGGAGGCTACTTTATTTTATTTTATTTATTGTTCTAGTCAAGGGAGGGAAACTTCATTCAGGCCCCAAGGCTGCAGGCGTTGGGCAGGTGGTGCCCTTCTGGACGAGGGGCTGGCTGAGCTTTACTTGACCTTCTTCTTGGGGTGCAGGTTGTTGGTGTGGCCACACTTCTTGCAGCAGGTGACAGCACGGGGGTGCAGGCGGGCATAGCACTTGCGGCAGACCATCTTGTCACAGTTGTACTTCTGGGCAAGCTGGCGCAGGGATGGCTCGATGATCCCACCTCGCAGGCGAAGCACCAGGGGCAGGGTGGGCTCTTTTTGGATGTTGTAGTCAGAGAGAGTCCAACCATCCTCCAGTTGTTTGCCAGCAAACACCAGGGGCTGCTGGTCAGGGGGGATTGCCCTCCTTGTCTTGGATTTTGGCTTTGACATTCTCAATGGTGTCCCTGGGCTCGACCTTGAGGGTGATGGTCTTGCCCGTCAGGGTCTTCACAAAGATCTGCATCTCTGTGTCTGCCGTTCGGCTGCCTCGTTGAAGAGAAAGAGTGCAACGGAGGAGGTTACTATAGACCAAAAGAAAGTTAAAGATTATTCTCTTATTTGACATAGACACTCTGGGGCCTGCCCATTAGCTCAGGTGTTTAAGTGCCTGCTGAAACAAAGCAGTCAGGCTCAGGATGCTGTGCTTCGATCCCCTCATCCTCAAGCCAAACCAGGCCTGCCCTGAGGGATCCTGAGCAGCCCAAAACAAAAACAAAAAACAAAAAAAACCTCCTTCTGACATAGACGCGCTGTGGGTGTGGTACTGGGTACCTGCCATCCCAGCACTCAAGAGGCTGAGGCAGGAGGATCAGGAGTTTAGGGCCAGCCTGGTAACCTTAGTGAGCACAAGCCCAGCTGGAGAACTTAGATGCAAAGAGAGGGGGAGAGGAGGAGAGGGGAGAAGGGAGGGG